AGTGTACCTTATAGATCCGGTGTTGAGATACACTCGTGTAGTGCAATAAGTTGGACCATTTTGATTTGTTTGAAGTTGTTTGGGACGTATAACAGTTTGATGTGACAATTGTTTATGTGAATATACTGTCATTGAAGCATGCTCATGAGTTAATTATTGCTTGCATTTTATTCGCTTGTGTGTGTTACAGTTTAGTTGCAAGGGTTATCATTAAAACTCAAGCGTTGTTTTATTTTGAAATTTTTAAAGACTACGCCCTGCCTTCTATCTACTTGCACGTGTTGTGGATCAGGTGGCATATCTAAAAGTATAAGTGTTTCATTTTGGAATTTTAAATGACAACCCTACACCTTCTATCTGCTTGTGTGGAAATGTTGCATATGTTTCATTTTGAAAATTTAGAAGACTGCTATTTACTTGCATAGGTATTCTTATATTGCCCCCTACTTGCACAAAATCAAAGCCTCTATAGTGAGTAGGGGTGCAAACTAGCCGACTCGCGAGCTGTTGGGGGTGGAAGTAAACCACTAAAAAAAAAAAAAATTGCAACAAAAAGTAAAGAACAATCGGATTTAATATTATAACCCAAAAATAAAAAGTATTTTAAAATATGAATTTTTGAATTCCGGTTTGAACTAGAGCTCTTCAGCATTGTGCTTGTGAGCATTGCGACACTAGGGTTGAGAGTACAACAATGCCAAAAATTATGTTTGCATCATTTGAGTCTTTGTTTCTATAGTAATTCTAAATTTTGCATGTGCAGTGCCAGCCCACTAAAAGTGTTTTTATATATAATTTACTCCAAATATCTATATGTCATTTCACCTCACCGCCTCCCATACTCGTGTCTTGGCCGGGAAGAAACCAAAGGGAGAGGAAGAAGAGGGAAGGAGGAAAGAGAAAATTCGTCTGGGCCTTTTAGTTTGCCAATCCTTTTATAAAATTATTCTATTCGTTGTAAGTATCTATCATCTTACTTCCGTCTTCGATGATTTTGATTTATATAGATTTTATCTCTCTAAAATTTATCAAATACGTATTATCTCTTGATTTCGTAAGATTTCACTGATAACTTTTGATATATTATAAATTTGATCATTATGAACAACATGATATGATTTTATTGCATTTTCATCAGTTAAATATGTGTACAAAATTTTTGGGTGAAATGAGTAGAAAAAATGTATATCGATTTGATATGATAACACTAAGATATATGTGTTGAAATAATTTATATGACTACTATGTACTTGAATGTGATACTGATTTGACTGAAAGGATGTGATGGACTGATTTTCCCAAAAGAATGATTAATTGATATCAGATATATAGATATGATAACATCACGTTATATTTTTAAGATTCATTGATTCACTGATAGGAGTCATGAGAAGATAGAGCCTGATTGTGAAATATAAGGAGTTGAGGCGACTGTAACTGATTTACTCAATGAAAGTTATAAAGAGTACACTGATTGGATGTCATAACAGACAACTGATTGAGAGTCATAAGTTCAGGAGCAAGATACTTATAATTATTTGATTGAATATTGATTACTGGTTATTAATTACTAATATTGATTATTGATTATTGATTACTAGTTACTAAAACTAACTATTATTATTGATATTGCATGGACATTGACCTTATAGACACTAATTTGTGTTACTAGTTGTTATTATTGAATACAAATATTAATACTACTGTATAATTATATAACTAATAGACTGTCGAGAATGATTGAATGATATGACTACATGAAACTGATTGAATGATAAAAACATATTTATTGTTTGATTGATTGAACGAGATGAAATGTGTGATCGAAAGATTGATTTATTGTTACAGGTGATCGGTATAGATAGTATATATTGATTTGTAGGTTTTCTTATATGATTTATAGTATATTGTTTCTCTTTTGTCTTGCATTGATTTCAGTTGTAAAATTTTGACTATTTGCTCGTCTTTTATGCTTATTATGTGATTTCTATATGTTTATCGGAAAATATAAGGGCCTTGTGGCATGAGGCACTCGATATCATGCATAGTTTGTTTTCTCCATTATTTGTTTTTTTTTCTCCTCCATAAAACAATTTACAGTATCTCCATTATTTGTTTTGTTTTCTTTAAGTTCATATGATATATGTATATTCTTTTGTAGCCTAAGAAAACTATCATACATATCATTTTGGACCTAGAAATAAAATGTAAATATTGACTACTATAGTAATGTGAATGAATGATATTTTTTGTTGTTTATTTATTTCTTGTAATGCAATTAATTAACTCTGGATGTCAAATTAATCTGGTTGTAAATGACTATGGTGTGATATTGAGCAATAAGAAATAAATTCAAAAAATAAAAGAAATTATTTCATTTTAGATTCCAGGACGTGACATTTAATGTAAAAAAACTAGAAATCGAGACAAAACCAATAAGTTATACCACACTAAGAAATCCACATTGAAAATTTGGTGAAATTTGTACAATCTCTCTTCTTTCTCGCTCTTTCTTTGCTTATATTCTCACTTATTGTTCTTCCACAAGAATAAACAAAGATATACAATGCATACCATCAAGGGACGTCACTCTTAAGAAAAACTATCCAGTCGGCCTCGTAGTGCTGCAGTACTAGTTTGGAGCATCGTGGTGACGCTTCTAGTCTGCCTATCACAGCCTCACGAGCCGAGCTTATCGAGTTTTGAGTCAAGCAATTTTACGAGCTCAATGGGTAATCAAGCTCAAGTTCGATTGAGTCGCAACTTGACTTGTCAACCAGCTTGAGTGCGGAAAGCGGAAGGTAGACGGAGGATGCGGAAGAGGAAAACAAAGGCAAATCTGTGAAAGGCCAAATTGTAGAAGGCGATAGGCAGAACCCAAAACCGGATTCGAAAGCGGAAGCAAACATCAGCTTGCTCTTCTTAAGCCTTGTGAGCTAGCTTGTGAGCATGCATTCATTGCTAGATGCTAAGCTCGAGCACGCCATGGAGCTCAAGCTCATGATTTGGCCGACGAGTCGAGCTCGAGTTAAGCATGACTTAAGCTCGACTCAACTCGTTTACGCCCCAAATAATGAGTGTCTTTCACTTTTGTTCTCCGCTCGCATGCGCTTTGAGAATATGTTGACTGTTCTCATGGACTTTTAGTGGGACAGTGATTATAGGTTTTGTTACACAACTCTCCTTGGCCTATTGGTTGAGAGCTAAGGCTTCCAACTAAGAGGTCTAAGATTCGAGTCTCTGTGTATGCGTTGTGTGTGTGAGTTTGCCTTAAATGGCCTAAATGTCCCAAAAAAAAAAAAGATTATAGGTTTTGTTTTTAATTTTTGATGATGAAAATACCGCTCGCCATTATGTCGACATTATGAATGGCCCTTGAGTGCGGAAAGCGGAAGGTAGACGGAGGATGCGGAAGAGGAAAACAAAGGCAAATCCGCAAAAGGCCAAATTGTAGAAGGCGATAGGCGGAACCCAAAACCGGAAGCAAACATCAGCCTGTTCTTCTTAAGCCTTGCGAGCTAGCTTGTGAGCCTGCATTCATTGCTAGATGCTAAGCTCGAGCTCATGATTTGGCTGACGAGCTGAGCTCGAGTTAAGCATAACTTAAGCTCGACTCGACTCATTTACGCCCCAAATAATGAGTGTCTTTCACTTTTGTTCTCTGCTCGCATGCGCTTTGAGAATATGTTGACTGTTCTCATGGACTTTTAGTGGGACAGTGATTATAGGTTTTGTTTTTAATTTTTGATGATGAAAATACCGCTCGCCATTATGTCGACATTATGAATGGCCCTTTTGGGCATCCTTTTAAACTCTCATTCAATCTTTGCATCTTTGAGCCAAAAAAAATCAAAATCAAAATTATTGATTTGAGTCATTTGACGACACGCCTTTATCATTTTCTGAAAACGGCAAATCAAGAGCTCTCCTCGTAAAAATGCTTCATGAGAGCGAAATATTTGAACTAATCACGACATTTTATAAAATCTGCATGATGATCTAATTCCGTCTTAAATTTTTTGAGTGGTCTTGTAATATAAAATGTTATCTCGTAGTTTTCTTTAAAAATATATTGCAGTTTTTTTATAAAATGTATTGTTGATTTGAGCAAATGCCTTGTGTTCCTGCCTTAAGACGGGTTGTCATAATCAGATCACAGGTCAATTCGAAACCAATCCGAAACTGACCCGACACTGTTCGACCAGACCCCAACCTGCCTTTTTTTTTTGCAAACAGGTCGATTTTTTGGACCCAAACTCGACCCGCTTCGATTATATTTTACTAAATTTTTTTTATTTAATTTGATTTATTTAAACCTATATCAAATTAAAGTAAAATTTATTTCAATTAATTTAAAATAAATCAAGCTTAATTCAATTTGGGCAACATAATTTATTTATTTTTTGGAAATACCATTTATTTATTTCATAACAATCTTTTAAAATCCTCCTAAATTAATTAAAAATGGGTCAAAACAGATTGATTTCAAATTTCCAGGTCAACCCGAATCCGACCCGGTCTTATAAACAGGTCAGAATCCCTAAACCGAAGGGTTGGATTTTTGGGTCGTGCCCCAAATTTAGGTCGGATTTTTGGGTTGTGTTAAATATTGACCCCCTACTTAAGTACATGCCATGTATTTTTAATGCATTTTTGTATGAGGTGAAAACCATAAATAGGCATATTTAAAACGACAATTCAGGTCGGATTTTTGGGTTGTGTATATTGACCCCCTACTTAAGTACATGCCATGTATTTTTAATGCATTTTTGTATGAGGTGAAAACCATAAATAGGCATATTTAAAACGATAATTCAGGTCGGATTTTTGGGTTGTGTATATTGACCCCCTACTTAAGTACATGCCATGTATTTTTAATGCATTTTTGTATGAGGTGAAAACCATAAATAGGCATATTTAAAACGATAATTAGATTTTTATTTCTTAAAAAAATTCATTGATACCAAATTAATTTCTAGAATAGTTTGTAATAAGCACAATCAGTAGAAGCGGTAGGTTCTTCCTGGGTACCCTGAAGCTGGGTCTGCTCTCATCCTCATGTCAGTCATGGGAACTCTGATGAAATCTTGTGGATACCAAGTGAGCGGTAGCCTTCCTCCTGTAGTTTAAGTCATGAAAGTATGCTCAAGCTGTTTGTTTGGATATTTTGCTTTAGTTCAGAGCGGATAATAGAATAAGTGCTTTCTTTTCAGCTTTATTTGGAGAGTTCAAAGCAAAGTGAACTAATGTTCATTGAGAAATGCTTGAAGAACTAAAGAAGATGACTGACAAAACTCAGTATGATGGGATGAGTCAAAAACCTCTTTAACTTCACTACATCATATGAAACGCTTTTGAAATTTGTTTGCCAGGATTACTCACTCCATTTGCAGGGAAATGCTTTCTTGAAAGAAAAAAATCAATCATTTTCTTCTATAGTACTTAAGACTTTCCCTCCTAAGCTTGCAGTGCTGACATGTCCAAAGAGACCCATGTAGGACTTTTAAGAGTTTGCTAGTGTTAATGTCTTTGATTGAGTGGAAGAAGGATTTGATTTGTTTCCCTAATTGACAGGCATCACATAGGTGATCCTTAGTGAACTTTAGTTTGGGAATTCCTCTCACTAAGCCTTTTTGGATGATTTTCCTAAGGTTTTTCATGCTTGCATGATACAATCTCCTATGACATAACCAGGATTCATCAGTAATAATTTTTAGGCAAAAAAAAACATCAAGTTTATCATATTTTAATCAAACAGCTCAGAATGTCTTACTGCATTTATCATCAAAAAGAAAAAAGTTTGATTGAACAAAATCTTTGAGGGATATTTTAATCTTATTTCTTAACATAAAAAAATTCAAATGTAGTAATATCAAGAGAAATTACACAAAAGTTCAGTTTATGAACATTTGAAATGTCCTCTGCAAAACGTTCCGCTATATTTAAGGTAAGTTTAGTTTTGCAGGATGTTACATAGTTTTTTAACTACATTTCGTATTGCATGAAGCAGTAATCAAGCATATTACATTACCTAGACCAGAAAAGAAGTTCTCGTTCATGTTTTAATAAAGTATTGCATTGCAAATCCAAAACCAGTAAACGTAAAGAAAAATACTTCACCTGGATTATGTTCGCCGAAGATGACCTCAGCAATTGCCAATCCACCAGCTTCTCCAGGATATCCACCCCACAGAACACTCCCAATTTTCTCATCGTCTTTTACAAACGAAACATCGACAGGACCGCCGCAAAGCAAAACCAAGATCACTGGCCTCTTTGCAACTCTTGCCACACTTGTAATAAGACTTTGCTGCATCCCAGGAAGCGCCAAATCCTCCCTATCAAAATCCTCTCTTTCCACAGTCTGATCCAATCCCATGAACAATATCACATAGTCCACCGAGCTAGCCAGCTTTACTGCTTCATCAATATGGCTAGTGTTACATATAACAGTATCACAGCCAGCTACAAATCTTGTGTTCTTCACATAGTTCTGCAGCACTTGAAGAGGAGTGTTCGATTTGCAGGGCGGTCCGTAATAGTTTCCTAGCAGCATTGAAGCACGGTTTGCATTTGGACCTATCACACCAAGTGAAGAAACCTTTGATTTGGAGAGAGGAAGGAATTGTTCTAAGTTTTTCAGAAGAACAATGCCATCTCGGGCTGCTTCAAGAGCCAGGTACTGATGAGCACTTGAGCAGACCTGTTCTGAAGCTATGTCGCCATAGAGTCCGTGCTTGGGGCTTCCATTGAAGAGCCCAAGTCTCATTCTTACGGCAAAAAGGTTGCGAAGCGCTCTGTTGATGTCATTTTCTGATAATTTACCTTGTTTAATAGCGGAGTAGGCGTATTTCTGCACATATTCTCCACAATTCACATCCATTCCTGAAAGTTTACATGTGAAATATGATGAAAAAGAAATAATCTTGTAACTTAACTTCAAGATTTTGCTAACTAGATCTTATGTTATCTTAATGGTTGCATTGTATACCAGCTTTGAGCGTGATAGCTACTGCATCTTCTGGAGTCCTGGTATATTTCTGATTCGTGTAAATGACTGAGACCGCATCGCAATCCGAAGTGATGTAACTGTGATAAACCAAAAGACAAAGTAGTGCTTGGTATATGATTGTTACATCTTTAACTGACGAAAGGAAAATTGGTGGAAAAAGATGTTCCATTAAAATGCAACTGAACCTCTGACTTCTATTGAAGTGAATATTGTAATCACTGTAATGCACAACTACAAGGAGTGGTTTAGAAAGAGGCCACGCATAAATCAATGGTTGCAGTTAAATATGTTATTGAGTCATTATTAAACTTGCCTTGTAGATGCATCATAACCCATCATTTCCTCAGCTTCCAAATAGTAACAAGTTTTTCTTAGTGCTGTCTGAGACTGGCCCATCATGTGAAATGGGTAAAAGGAAATGGAGAAATTGAAATCAAAGATGTTCTGTTAAAAGTCAAATTCTCATTTAAATCTAATAAAGAGAGATCTTTTCTAATATTTTCTAACCAAGTCTTATTAGGTCTACCTCTACCTTTCTTAACATAAGTCAAATCAAATACATCTACTTTCCTAACCGAGTCATCAGAAAACCGCTGTTTTATGTGACCAAAACATCTAAGGAGACTCTCTCTAATCTTATCTTCCATTGATGCTACTCCAACCTTTTCATGTATATGCTCATTTCATATCTTATCTCTAAGGGTAAAGCCACTCATCCACCAGAGCATCCTCATCTCTGCAACACTTAACTCAGTATTATGCTTCTCTTTTAACGGCCAACATTCGTCACCATAAAGCATTGCAGGTCTCACCACCATCTTATAGAATTTTCCCTTAAGATTGAGGGGGTCTTTTCTATCACACAACAAGCCCGATGTATTCCTCCACTTCAACCATCCAACTGGAATTCTAATTTAATTTTCCTATTGAGGATAGTGTATCTTCGACACTTTGCCCCATGATGGCCTAAATGGGTGTGACATTCCTCTCCACTGAATAGTTGTTAAAAAAAAGGGAAAAAATAGTAGTTAAACTTACAACTACTAGTCTAATATGTATGGTCCTATTTGAAGAAATTCTTTTTTATAAGCATACATCTAAACTATAAATGACATGATGTTAAAAAGGTAGACACAAAGGAGGCAACTAGCACTATTGCCTTTAGTATCTTACCCATAAAAACCCCACAATCCTCTTGCCGTTTTTGTTAAGAGATTGGAATCGGCACAGGTTGGAACGCCATTAACTTGATTATATGAGCACATGATTCCAGTGGCACGACCTTGCTCGACACAGCTCTTGAAAGGAGGCTGATAGGTATCTTCCAGATCCTGAACAGAAACCTGCAGCCAAAAAGAACATGTTCCAGCTCTTTTCCCGGATCGAAAAGACAAAACTCAAGAAACATCAATATGGGAATTACCTTTGCATTGAATGAGTATCGAAGAACTCCATTCCAACGATCGATGTCATAAGCAGTGAAGTGCTTGCAGCAAGCTGAAGCCTTGAGCCCTGCTCCACCATCTCCTTGGTAGGAATCACCCTGCACTCCTCTGACATAGGAGATTGCATATCTGCTCGCCATTAATGGATCCTCTCCTGGAGTTTCTTGGCCTCTGCCCCATCTCGGATCTCTGAAAATATTTATGTTCGGTGCCCAAAATGTGAGCCCTTCAGCCTGCCCAGCATTGTACAGTGCTCGAGCCTCGGTTCCAATAGCCTATAAAGAACATTCCAAATTCATAGAAACATGCAAAACATCAATTTCATAACAGATGTATCCACCTAAGTCAGAAGGATTATACTAATATAGCTCAAGAATGATATAAGAAGATGTTAAAAGCTCTAGTGATTGAAACCTTCCTCTGAAGTATTAAGCCATAATATCTCTTTAAATGTAGTAGAAGCAGCAGCAGAAGCAGAAATGCTTCCATTACAAAGACAATATCAAGCATCACAGAGTATAATACAGAATTACCAAGTAGTTTACCTCACCAATTCGGTACCAAAGCAAGGGGTTGAATGAAGCTGCAGTGAGAATGACTTGAGGGAAGCTCGTCCCAGCCGAAATGGAGCCATTGTAGTGGATGCCTCTCCCTGCATCAGAGACGCCGTGAAGCGCTTCCGACCACCACTTGTAGCCCGGTAAACCAAGGCGGGGAATGGGAGGAGCTCTATCGCCAAGCTGAGAGATCTTTTCCACAAGAGAAAGGCGGGAGATGAGATCATCGACCCTTTGCTCTATTGGCAATGTCGCCTTACAAAATAAGTAGTCTTTGGTAGAAGGATTCGACGTGTCACAGGAGAATGGAGGTATTGAAGAGAGGATGGAACTCGGGAGGAGGAACAGAAGAATGGAAGGGATAAGGAGAAGGGCTTCACTTTGTGTTCTCATAGCTTCTTCAAAGACTTAGCCTTTGGTTTGGTTTCGAGGGGTAAGGCATGAAGAGGAAGACAATGGAGAGGAGGGAGGGAGTGTACACAAGGAAAGAACAATGGTTTTCCGTTTTAGTGAAGCTGGTGGGGTAGTTAAAAGAAGAAAGCTGGGGAACAACTTTGACTTCAAGAGGGGTTCCTGTGACGGATATGCCCTTACAAGAGAAAATATTTTAGGGTGCAAACCAGAATCAAGTTTCAAAGTGTCGTTTGACTCTGCTCCGGCTAATTTCTCCTGCTCCGGATCCCGCGGCTAATTTCCCGCAGACTTCTAAACGCCGGATTATGCTCCACTTCATTTATTATTTTGTGCGGAGTTTGGAGGATGTCCGGGGATCAATAAAAATGTGTATGTCATCCTATTGCTCAGTATCTTTCGGTATTGCTGGATACCCAGCGCTTAATCGGATGGGAGAACCGTCTGGTGTCCGCATGGAATAATAGCTCATAAGGATACATTATTATGTGCCGACATCAGACGGGAGTACTGTCCGATTTATACTTAGGTAACAAGCGGTATGGAGCCACGGTATCGTTTGGTACTAAGCTCGATAAATCAGAGGTGACGTATTTTTATTGGGGAGAATAAAATTTCTCCACTCGGGGAGTCCGAGGGAGAATAAAATCACTAAACCGTAATTTGATGTAGGTTCAAGAAAAATGGGTTGGCCTTAACCAAAACTAATTTGTGGAATAATTTGTTATCCTTAAAGGAAAATTGTATGCAAAGAAGGTGAGGGGGTCGAAGTTAGTTGGCAAAGCAGGGGAAAATTATTGTGTCCGGTGTCGCCACGTCACCAAAATACATCGGGATCCAGTGTATTTGGGTGATGTAGCGTCACCGGATTAGATGTCCTGACATCCGATGACCGGAAGTAATAATTCGCCCAAAGCTGGACAGGAGGGCCCATTGAGTATACGACCACATTTTTTGTTTCTTCTTGGTCTGCTGTGACAGTAAAGGGAAAACGAGAGGATGGAGCTAAACTGAGCTGAGCTGTCTGAAGTGGGAAGTTGTGCACTTCACGTGACGCTGAAATCCCTTATCCAGCATGGTATCTCTTATCAACAAGGTGTAAGAAAACAAAATTGGCAGTTTTTTTTTTTTTTTTTTTGACATTTTAGTCTAATTAAAATAGATTGATACCTATATTATCTACACAACATTCGGAACTCAAAATTTTTTAGTTGATAGTCTAAACTTTCAACCAACAGACTAAAGTTTTATTTGGGACAGCTTTTTTACTACTGCTTAAATCAAATTTTTGATAAAAAATTAAAAAATTTGTACCAAAAAACTGCATTAAGAAGCAGTAAGAAAGTCGTCCTAAATAAAACTTAGCTTCGTTTGGGATGTATTTCTTACTATTTCTTAAAGGATATTTCAAATAAAAAATGTTAATTTTTGTATAAAAAATTACTTTAAGAAGCAGTAAGTTTTTTTTTTTTGGTGATAGTTCATGAGCTTGGGAGGATTCAATGCATAAACGTGTTTAGTGTTCTTCAACATTGTCGTTATAGTTCTGTATCACATTTAAGTTTATCCCCTCAACTATTCATATATCAGTAATTGAAGAAGTCTTTTTTAAATTTAAACTATTTTGTGAGAAGTCTCATCAGTGTTATTCCCAAATATAATATTTGGTTTTTAAAATATTATATTTTTTTAAAAATAATATAGATAATCATAGAAACACTTCAATTTGGCTGGATCTCTCGCCTTCCATCATTCTTAGTAATGTCTTGTTGTGTCCTGGAATATTCGCAGTAATAGAGAGTGATATAGTTTGGCGTCTTAGTTTTTTATGAAGATCCATGACACAAACATATAAAATAATATGATTATAGCTTTTATAAGGGACACCAGAATTTTTACGTGAAAACCCTAAAAAATGAGAAAAACCACGGGGCCTAGCTTAGTTTGAATGAATCCACTAGTGCTTGGAATTGATTACAAATGAGGCCCTTTCTTAGGAGTAAGGGTCTTGGCTCGAGGTAGCAAATATACATTATATATAGTGCATTATATGGCATAAGTTGGAAGAATCGGTGTTGATATGTTCGTTTGGGCGGCAAGACCATGGTCAGTGGGTGATGTAGGTAGGAAGGACCGTAGTCGAATGACGGTGGTCGGAATGAGCGTAGTTGGCGGAGGGATTGTAGTTGGCAGACAGTGGTGGTTGGAAGGACCGTAGTGGATGATTTCGTTGGAAGGATTGTAGTCGACCGGTGATGGGGTTCGGGAATACCGTAGTTGGGCGACGGTGGTTAGAATGACCGTAAATTGCAGGCGATGGTGGTCGAAAGTTCCATAGTTAGCGGGCAACGAAGTTTAGAAGAATCATTGTATTACAATGAAAGTCGGAAGGACCGTTGTCTGACAATGAAAGTCAGAAAAATCATAATCGGTGGGCGACGGAGGTCGGAAAGACCATAGTTGTTGGGCGACGGAAGTCAGGAGGATCGTAGTCAGATGACATTGGTCAAAAGGACTGTAGTCGGGTTATAGAGGTTAGGAGGACCATTGTTGGGAGATGGTGGTCAGAAGGATTGTAGTCGTCGAGCGACGGAGGTCCGGTTGTGGTCAGCGGATTGGCGAAAGTCCAGCGGTGGTCGGTGGAATGATGAAAGTCCAGCGGTGCTCGGCGGACTGGTGGAACTTCATAAGTGGTCGGGAAGAACTTTGGAGATGGTCATCGGATGGGCAGAAGTCCAGCTATGGTCGACGGACTGGAGAAAGTTCATCGATAGTTAGGAAGAACTCTGACGGTGGTTGGCGGACGGGCGAAAGTTTGGCTATGGTCGGGAAGAACTCTAATGGTGATCGGCGTAAGGGCAGAAGTCCGGTGATGCTCGAGAAGAACTCCAGTGGTGGTCGGAAGACGGGAGGAAGTCCGACAGTGGTCGGCAGATGAGCGAAAGTCTGGCAAAGGTCGACAAATGGGTGAAAGTTCGATGGTGGTCGGCAAACTGGCAGAAGTCTGTCAGTGGTTGGGAATAACTCCGGTGGTGATCGAGAGGAACTCCGACGGTGGTTGGCAAGAAGTCCGTCGGAGATTGGGAGGAACTCCAGTGGTGATCGGCAAGAACTCCGTCTGCGGTCAGGAGGAACTCCGGTGGTGGTCGGCAAGAACTCCGACGGTAGTCGGTGGCAAGAGAGCTCTCAAACTCTTCCCTTCCTTTCCTTCTTCTACCTCCTATCTCATGAAAAGAGTGGGGGCAATTTATATTTTTTTTAGAGTGGCATGTCTTGAAAATATGGAGAAGATCAATGGCATGTTCAGAGTGGTTCGAATGGACGGTCAATATTGATCCCTTTGATAATGAACCGTTTATTGATCATTTAAATGTCTTAATGATATCAAAATTAAATGTTCTTGGGCTCGTTGGATTCTTCTTGTCAAGTCGCTCGATTCGACTATAAGCATGTCACATTTGGAGACCTTTTGGTAATTGAAATTATGGTTTGAACCTTCCGAATGCGCTTTGGGTCTTTGATTTGGAGTCAATTGAGCTTGGATTTGACTAATTTTGGTTTCGTTGGGTTTGTCTTTCCGAGACGTTCAGTTCCACTATAATTTTGCTGAAATCAGAGTTCGGATGATTCCAATTTTAATTTGGGAAGTTTTTAATTTCTATTTTCATCAAGATTCGTGCAAGATCAAGGCAATTTTTGGTGATATATCATGCCTTATTCGGTGTATCACATATTCATGCATAAATTTTTTATACGAAAGGTGGTTGTAAGCTTTGGCTCCTCTTATTCATGGTGACCTCATTTTTCTCTCTCTAAAGAAAGCTCAAATCCTTAAAGGTTGCATTTAAACACAAAATTGGGTTCTGCTAATCTTCTCACAAGTAACATTAATGTAATACAGTAATGAACGGCCTAGGCCAAATGGGTTCAGGTGTCCGTTTAAATGCTATAAACCCCTTCTTCTTGCACATAACTAACTCGCCAGGCCCACTCTCGTGCATGTTGTCAATCGACCCCTTAGCACGACTCGCCCAACACCGCCTGACTCTACTCAGTGTTATCATTTCGCTTAACTTTTCTTGCCCACATTCGCGGCAGTAGAGAGATATATAGAGCTGAATTTAACATTATAGATTTGTATAAAGACCTAACACACATACAGATAACTATGACTATGATCCAGCTCGACTCTAATCTGTGCTATCACTCGTTGACTATGATCATCAAGCTAGCGTCGCCCAACTACAGCCCTCAGACCACCGTCTTCTGACTACGATTCTCAAACCACCATTGCTTGACTACAATCCTTAGACCACTATCACCCAATCATGGTCCTTCGAACTACTGTCACTGGAATATGGCCCTCTAATAACTGTTGCTAGACTACAATCTTTCAGTCACCGTCGTCCAACTATGATCTATTGATGATCAATCTTTTGATCATTATTACATGGTTATTTCAATGCCTACTAACTTTATCACCTACAATCGCTAATAACACTAACACACACCTCATTGATAATATTGATCCATGCTGCCAACATCAACTTTTACTTCGAACTTTTGCATTTGGATCTGCGTTGAGTTTTTGCCATAGGGCTCTTAAACAATATAATATGTACTTTATGCCTCCGCTTGAGAAAGAGCATTATTTGTAATCAATGATAAAACACCGGTGGAATCATTTTCAATGGGTCAGACCTCATAATTTTTTTCTTTACTGAGTTTGAAGCGTAAAAAATTTTTTGTCTCTTATAATTATTACACTCATATCTTATTTATTTGCGTAATGAATTTTTATACAAAATTAAAATATTAAATAAATTATTAAAAATACATATCATAATATTTATGTATATGTATTCATATAAATATATTACCTCTTTATGTATATCTGAGCATGAAAATGTTTAATTTTTGTATCGTACAACGCTAAGACGTTAAACTATATATTTCTCTACCGCCGCGAATATTCCAGGACGCAACAATTAATATTATGATATTATCAATATTAATCAATGCTAAGCATAATATTGCAAATTATTTTAAGAAAAAAATTTAATTTATGTCATATAAAAATCCTTAGAATGAGAAGAGTTGGTGCCTCAATTTAGATTCAGTGATATGCTTACTAAGTTAAATATAGTTTAGAAAGTTTTTATGTAAGAATATTCTGATTAAAAGCAATTAGATTGAGCCTCACAATAATTGAATTTTCTTTAAGAGTTAAACTCTGTGTATAGCGAAAGGAAGAGAGTAATATTTAAATAAACAGTCATAAAAAATATAAATATTATTACGAGTGGAAGTAT